CTCTCTCTCTCTCTCTCTCTCTCTTTCTTTCTTTCTTTCTTTCTTTCTTTCTTTCTTTCTTTCTTTCTTTCTTTGCAAATGCTGACAAACATCTGTAGGCAGTGCCGAGCCTGGATGGGATTATCAGTGCATCAAACCGATATAACCTTTTCAATAGTTTCAGAGGATTAAAGATAATAATAATATCAGAGTCTCCCAGCAACTTTTCTATTCCCTGCTACTAAAATTTAGTCCTTATTCTTTGGATGGTATTAATAGCTGTTATAAAATAGCCATTATAAAATTGTTTTACTGCCTGAAGTTTGCGCAGCGCTCGTTTCATTTCTGAGCTCCCTCCTATGGCAAGTCCAGGTAATTTCCTAATCCACCAGAAAGCAAACCCTGGATGGGGATTTTCTTACGATGCCATGCCATGAATTTATTTATGTATTTGATTTATATGGCAGCCCCTCTCAAATTCACAACTCTGGGCAGCTAACAGTAATTAGAAACAATATGAAACAATAAAAATGACGACATCCAGATAAAAAAGTGCAGCCGGGGTAAAAACCACAACGCAAGTCAGCACAACCGTTGCACGGGAGCTTGCACACACACACACTTGGCAGCATGTCCGATAAGTGAAACTGAGTTAAGAAAAAACACCTCGTAGTCCGCATTTTTAACAATGAAAAAGCGTATTTTTAATACCTTAAAAATGCACTTTTTAAAAAGGAGTTCTGTTCTGCACGCACTTCCAGAATGTGTACGGGAATAAAAACTACCCTGTTCAAAACCCTTATAGATTTGTAAAGGAACATAATCAGTAGACCACACATTAAACCTACGAAAAGCTTCATGAGTCAAAATCAAAGGCAAACACAATTAAAGGTAAGGTGAAGATACGCTCACTTCCCTATTTTCCTCCTTTCAGTTTTCTCAGTCACCTTCTACAGCTTCCAAATGAACTTTTCCATGGCTTGTGAGCCCCCAAGGACGTGCGATCGCTACGATGCCAAAAAGCTGGCGACAAACTGGGTAAGTCTGAGCGGTGTCCCGTTTAAAGTCGGCCCTACCCGCGTGCAGGGCGAAGGGCGGCCAAACCGGAGAAGCTAATCCTGCTCGTGCTTGGAAAGGATGGAGAATGCTCACACGTTCCCAGAAATAAGCGCACGCGCAATTATTTTGCTGGAAACGTTGAGAATTATTCCACTTGATGGGACTCGGTGACTTGCGCTCGTCCAGTCGGTTCGCTATTAGCGGACAATGTTGCTTGGAAAGTTTTCTTCAAGTGAAACGATGGCACAACATGCACATTTTTCCTCCTTTTTTAGGCTGAGTGAGGGCCACCTTTCTGTCGCATTAAAGACTGCAATTCAGGGAGATCTTTAGGAAGGACTTGGGGACCGAAGAAACACAAGTTCTACCTGCTGGAAAATTCTTGGGGCAATTGCAGTTTAGTTTGCCCCCAGCACGCTCCCAGTCAGTCCCTAGATCCAGATCAGAGCCCACGGCGGCCCACTCAGCTCGCAAAAATATAGCTTGATGCTTATTTATTAAACATCTGCAAACATCAAATGCCGTTAATCTGGGAAAATGGGACAAAAGCAGGGAGAAAGTGCCCTTTTATCTCTCCATTAATAATAATAATCTACACTATCTATTTCTACCTATCATCCATCCATCCATCCATCCATCCATCCATCCATCCATCCATCCATCTGTCTATCTATCTATCTACTCTATCATCATCATCACACAGGACTTTCCAGAGCTGCTGGAAATAATATACTGTAGGTGCTTAGCATGGACCATCCCACAGGGAATGGCCACCAGTTATTCCAGCTTTAACCTTTTTATGGGCATAACAGCAACTGAATAGAGATGGAAAGTAGGACACCAGGTGATCCCTCCTCTCTTCTGCACCATGAAAGACACAATTTGCTGGACAGGGATGATGCAGTATTGTCCTAAAGCAGTGTTTCTGAACCTCAAGTAACTTTGAGATGCGTGGACTTCAACTCCCAGAATTCAGAATGCTGACTGGGGAATTCTGGGAGTTGAAGTCCACGCATCTCAAAGTTGCTGAGGTTGAGAATCCCTGCCCTAAAGGGCTGAAGCACTGATTCCAGCATCAACATTTGGCAATTACATTCATTTCATCAGATAACTGTTGCTGTTAGACAAATGCCGCAGGATGTTCAGGGAATCCAGTTGTGATTGACCGTTTGTCTCTCTTACAGTTCAAGAAGCAATTAGACAATTCAGAATTTGTGGTGACCAACCATTACATCAAGGCAACTCGGTAAGCATCTTTTTCTGCTGCCCAGAAAGGTGGGCAGAGGCTCATGGATGCCAACGCAATGAACTCACTCTCTAAAAAGAATAACTTTGCTTGCAAAGCTTAATAGAGACCGGAAGCATTTGCAGGCGGGGTGTCCGCAGGGGGTGATCAAAGAAGTCAAGATGCAAAGCTCCACCTGCTTTTTAATGTGGGTCGCTAAGTTGCTGAGATGTCCCCATTTCAAGCCACTCAGGGCCTGCCTTGGATGAAGCTGCGAACGGACGATTTTCAGCAATGAATGCCCATGTGGAAAAGCAAAGGTCCCACCCTTTATTGGCTTGGGAGATGGATTAATATCCAGGTTAGACCACCACCCATTTCAGGGCTGTTCGATTTTGGAAGTCACGACACAAGAAAGTGCTAGAAAGTCTTCGTGAGGGTTGAGTCTTCCTGCAAAACAGAATGCCTTCTGCAGTAAAACGAGCAATTACCTAAAAACACCGCTCAAGCACATCTATAGTCTGAAAATTGGCTCCTTTGGCAAGTCTGTGTTTAACATCTGCATACGCTACTTAAAATGAAAACTGTTGAATGTCCAAGAAGATAAAGGAGAACATTGTGCAGCTGTGTGTGTGTGTGTGTGTGTGTGAGAGAGAGAGAGAGAGAGAGAGAGAAAGAAAGGAGAAGGGAAACATTTTTAAAGCAATCATTCAAGTTTTACATAGGCTTTTCCTATTATTTTTCCTGGGAAGTCAGTGCACCCCAGAGATTAATCAATAGACCAGTGTTTCTTGTGGTCCTAGGACCCCCAGGGCCCCCCAAGACCCTCTCAGGGGTCTGCAAAATCAAACTGATTTGCCAGCCTAGGCTGAAAAAGAATACAAAATTAACATCCCCTCCAACCATCGTGAGAAGCAGCAGTGGGAGGAATGCGTCAATCTTAAATTTGAATACGGTAAATACCGATCAATATAACCCCTGCCAACAAAAGCTCTTTTGGGGTCCCCCATCATTTTAAAAGGGGGAAGGGGTCCTGAGAGAAAACAAAGTTTGAGAAACCCTGCAATAGACTAAGGTTTGAGTTCTTCTCAGGCCTAAAAGTATATTCCCAATAAATGATGCACAAGAATGTTTGCGGACCCTGTTCCATCCAAATTCAGGGCTTTGAAACCAACCTAGGGAGGGCCATCTCTTCTCCCCCAGCATCTTACGTTTCCTAGCCTTAACCGATTTTCCCCCAAACCCGCCTAGAATGATCATGAAATATCTTTCTTTCAACACAGCATCGCGTTGTCCCAGAGAATGGGGCGGATTAACAGCGGGGTATGTATTTGGAATACCGAAATCCCGTCTTTCTCCCCCGAGATGACCATGATTCCGTCTTCTTTCAGACGCCAATGCCTCGCGCACTTTCACAATGAGCTTCTTTCATCCTTCCTCCTCCTTCCGGCTCGGATCTTCTCTAGCGAGAAAGAATTGCCATGGCAGCAGCAAACGTTGTGCCTTAGTAACTGGTTCAACGTGCCTAACAGCAGACTCGGCTTGTTTTTGCACAGGAAGCCAGGATAAATAACCCTGGCACTGAATGGCTTAGTTGCACCCTTTTGATCCCGAGAAGGCCTGAAATGAAATCTTGCAGGGCAGGGGATTTCTGCTGGCCCCGTCCCATCGATGGCTAGCTAAGATTCCTCGGCTACTGAGCGGGCATCTTTCCCCGGGCTAATTTTACTTTCTCCCCTCCTTACGGTTCACAGTTTTGAAAAGCGTTGATGCTTCGGCCAAGGTGGGAGAGTCCTGCAAATTGCTCAAGGGTGCCCTGCGTGGATATGCCCGTTTTGCTCCGTGAAATTCTCACTGGGGGAATAATCTATTATCATCCACCAGAATATATCACTGGGAATATAATCTACAGTGATTATATTCACGACTGACCACTAGGAGGTGGGATAGGACTAGTTTCTTGCTTATTGGAATTCATCAGACAGAACTTCCACCGGAAGGAGGAGCTCCAGCAAGAATGAAATGGGTTGTGTAGTATTTTCTAGTGGTCAGAAGTGGGGTCTTTGTGGTCCAGGCAAATTAACTCCTATAGCAGTGTTTCTCAACCTTGGCAACTTTAAGATCTGTGGACTTCAACTCCCAGAATTCCCCAGCCAACCCGGAGCAGGTGTGGAGTATTGGTGGGATGGAACTACAGCGATCTTAAAACTTACAATATTTAAAAACACCAGCTTT